TATATATAAATCACTCTTTATGTATGATTTCTATAATTTTTAAAATCCATATATTTTTGTGCTGAAAAAATATAATTATGGATATTATAGAATTTTGTATAAATAGTAAGGGGAAGAAGAGAATACCTTTTTTTTTTAATGTATATAAGAATGCCTCTTTTTGAGAGATATTTCTAATTATAAAAGAAAATTACGCGTGATATAAAAGGAGAAATTTTATGTATTACATGTATATAAAAATAAGTTCTACTAATGAGGATATATTATATATGCTTTATTTAAAGCTGTTTTACTGGGTCGTATGCGTATCTATAATATTTTACACTTTAAAAGTATTGCTATAATGTAACAAAATGTGCGATATAATACATGAAGGCTATTTTGATTACGGAGATTATATATATTCTACATTTTTTGGTAATTATTTATACATCTCTATATCATCAAATATTAGAGAGTGATACACAATACGTGCAAATGCATATAAAAGTTGCTCGCTACGTTTGCGAATAGCCAGTCGCAGTGTCTGGTGCAACAGAGCTCATATTGAAGAAATGTTTACAGAAAATGCAATATTGGTCCATTAGATGCAAATTATACGTCATTGGGAAGATTGAAGAGTCAAATGTAGAGAGAGAGAGAGTATATAATAAAATGAATGACAGTAAATGTTGTTTTATTAAAAAATCCGTTTTATTACGTGTTTTTCTTTTATACGATATTTTTTGTGCACTATTACATATATATATATTGCCGATATTATAATTTACGTCGCAAATCGCACATATTAATTCTGACAGAGATTAAATCTTTTTATACAATTTCTCTATATTTGTTTCCCATTAAAATCTTCGATAATATGTCGGACAAATAGTGTCGGTACCAAAAACAATTAAAAATTCTACATTTTCGAGCTCCGTCATACGATCTATGCTGGATCTCTACCAGGATTGGAAATTTTTTTTCTTTTAATATTTGTCGCTATAATTAATCTACTTAGTTAAAACTGAATAGCAAAGAGGGAAATGACCACATGACATTTAATAAAGCAAACACATTCGTGCTATATCATATATTCACGCACACTATAAAGTGTTTTAACAATGATTTTTCTCACCGGTAATGTATTGATCGGTCCGATAATATATGTCGCAACTATTCCGTGAAACTCTCGAACATAACTCCCGAACACAAGCATCATTTCCTGCTTTGCTATGTACACGTTTGCCAAAGACACGTCATTGTCATCAATTTATATTTTCCGACATTTTTACCACTTTAACGATTGTAATAATTGTAATAAAGATACGTACACGAAAGACCGATCATATATATGTGTATATATATGGCGCTAATTGTCGAAATAAAATAAAAAACGCAAACTTATCGAGATTTGCGATTTATATTTTCATGCATTTGGAAATTAGCTTACTGTGATCAGATCCGAGCATCGAACTTTCATGTACGTGTGAATGACTACTAGTATCGTGCTAAAAATCTATGGGACTGCAGTTGCATTTTTTAATCTGAAAATTCGTATCAATGTAGCGCCTGTTTATACATTTCTTTTTTTGCAGATGGGAAGTTATTATCATTTGCTCGCTCTAATAGTTTTTACTCTTTTTGACTTCCACATCATGCATCAACGATAAAATCATAATCTGGTTATGCCAGACTGAATTATCTAATTGAACGTTAAAGAAAGAAGTTTTCATCAGGATATGAACATGGGCTTACAACAATAACGGGGCTCCGTAACAGATTCGGTTCACCCCTTTCCCCGCGCGAATGCGTTTATTGTACCTAGATGGTTGTTTAACCGTGTTATTGAGAGGCATTATCACCCGAAGAACCGATTCCGCGAAAAGTGAAGGAAGAAATGTTCACATCCGCGTGTCGGATCATGAACGAGAGATTTGTACTATATGTCTGTCGTCATAATAATATATGTATACAATAACCCCGTATATTCTCCACGGAACGAAAAAAAGAACTAGAAAAAGAATCCTTCTCCCCTCCAATTCTTGTTACTACTAACATATTGGCATTGAGAAATCGGTGGACTCAGTGATAGTTGCGGCATAGAGATCGAAAAAATTTCCGAAAAAGGTCTCGGGCGACGTTTTTGTCATTTAATATAACACGGTTACTGAGAAAGAGAGAGAGAGAGTGAGTGAGAGAGAGAGAGAGAGAGAGAGAGAGAGAAAGAAAGATAGAGGAAGAGAAATAGAGACGTTTTATCGGATGTCTAATTAATCGAAAAACACCGAAGCCAACTTAAAACCTACTCTCTCATCAATCGAGAATCAATTTTTTTGGTTGCTCCCATGTGAAACCATCCCGTCCGAAATGACCATATGTACTGGTTTGTTGGTAAATAGGATTGCGGAGATTCAGCTCCCTACATAAAAATACAGTTATGTACTTTTAATTATAATTTAAAATATTTTTTTTTTATGTTTTGCTTATCATCGATAAAATATCCTACGATTCACCGTGATATATGGTAAGACATATTGAAAAACAATGTTTACAATAACAAGTTGTTTAATATATATTGATAATAAAATGTATAAGAAATATACATACTTGACAATCTTTCCCGGTCGCAGATCAAAGTTTTTGTTCACTATGTCTAAGAGCTCGTTCTGGGAGCGTGTGGATGTGCCATAATCGAACACTGTGATCGACAATGGTTCTGCCACCCCAATGGCATAAGAGACCTAATGATAATTGTAAATATATTCTTTATATCAATAATAATAGCAACTTAATTGTTATTCTTTATATATGATATATCACATATAATCGCACATAGAATTTTGCATTGAAAAAATTTTTACATAGATATTTCATCAGCTATAAGAATATCTTAACATAAGTAAAAATGTTACCTGTACAAGACAGCGCCTACAGAGACCGGCTTTTACCAAGGATTTTGCGACCCATCTTGCGGCATATGCAGCTGATCTGTCCACCTTCGTAAAATCTTTACCGGAAAACGCACCACCACCGTGCGCTCCCCAACCACCGTATGTATCTACAATAATCTTCCGTCCCGTGAGACCAGCGTCACTCTAAAAATTTGGATAAGGACAAATGTCTCAAGAAAATGTAAATTTCATTAAGATTTTGCTAACTAATATTAATATTATTAATATTATTTATAATAATATTAATATTATTATTAATATTATTATAATTAATAATAATATTAATATTATTTACATTGTGTAACATTTAATTTGAGACTTTGGCAATACCTGTGGTCCACCAATAATGAACAGTCCGCAAGGATTCACGTGAAAGACTGTTCTGTCGTCCAGGTATCTCGCTGGTATCACTTCTTTGATAACTTTCTCCATGATCGCTTTGCGTAGTTCATCTAGACCGATTTTTTCGCTATGTTGCAGTGACACCACAACAGTATGAACTCTTATAGGTACGCAAGCCCCATGATCCATGATATACTCGCAGGTCACCTATATAATTACACACTTTATAATTATATTACACTAGTTTAATATTATAAAAAATATCAAAATATTATTTTATAATTAATGGATTATTCTCAGTTAAATATTGACATCATGGCACTCAAGAGTAGCAAATACTATAAATTCATCATTGAATAATCACATTACTGTATGTAAATCTTTTTTCTTATTGTAATAAGTCAAGGTTTCCAAGTGTAATAAATATCGGGAGCGACTCGGAATCGAACCGGGGATCTTTGGATTTGGAGACGAATGCTTTGACCTATAAGCCATCCAGCGACTCCACACACTAATACTTTCTTTGCTCATCTATTTATCGGCAGACGGCTCAGCGCTTATGAATTAAAATAAATAAGAAATATATGGAATCAAACCTGTGTTTTTGAATCTGGAAGAGCCCACCATAATTCGCCGCTTCGTCTTAGTTCGGCAATTTTTTGATTTAATTTATGCGCCAATACGACCGTCAATGGCATACATTCATCAGTTTCATCGGTTGCGTATCCAAACATTAGACCCTGATGGAAGAATTTGAGTTATTCCAGCTAAAATTTATGAGACATAAGCTTGAAATGCATCAAACAGATACTACATCGTACATATAATCTTAAGTATGCGAATACGTTTTTCAAAATCAAAGCACATAGCATATTTTTACGCATAAAATAAAAGAAAGCTTGTAACCTAAAATAAAAAAAAATATATCATGAAGAATAAATGACTGCATGTATACTAATATTCATGTAGTATTATATATAGCTGTAAAGAAGCGATAAATCTAACATGCAATAAAAAGTGCCACATAGCAGAACAGTAATAATGTAAATATAGCAGTAGGAAGAGATAATCATTAACATTAATGCTAAAGTTTAGTTTACAAGCTATTTACAACTTGCACTTGTTAATTACATAGCTATATAACATTTTCTAGTTTAATTACATAATTACATAGACTATCTAATGAATTCAGATTACAATGAAGGTTGTGATCTTACAGTTATGAGATGGAATCCTTTTTTCGTTTTTTGACACATTATACTCTTTAAATTCAGGTTAAGATCATAAGTGGTTCAAAGGTCATAATTGTAAGATCGAAATGGTTATTCTACTGGGAATATTATCGATCTACAGTGTAGTGCGAAATATACAAATATCTTTAAATCCGCATGAAAACTTATGTACACATACATTTTATACATTCATTCAATTTTTGCACACTCCCTATATCTCAGATACATATTTATGATGCATTCACAAATGCAACTATGATGATAACGCAATAAATATATAAAGAACATTTAGTATGTCAGTCGCACTATTTTTATTTCTACAGTAACGAAACAAAGACTAGTGGGGGTTGATAAGTGAAATAAAAAAGATAAAGTAATGAAAGTTATTTGTACAGCTACTAAAGAAATATACTTAGTAGCATACAGGTGGCGAACAATCAAAAAGAAGAAAACCGCAGACAAAGAGAAGAAAGAAAAAATTTAACAATGGGAATGCTAATTGACCTGATCTCCTGCTCCCACTTCCTCGTCGCTACGGTTTTCATGAACGCCTGCCGCGATATTTGGTGATTGAGCATCGAGCGCCAACAGAACATTGCACAGCTTGTAGTCAAAACCTGCAGAAATCATCACAGTCCGGTAAGACAAAATTATTCGCTACTGTTTAATGCGTCCTTCTTCTACATCAGGCCCTCTTTTACATCAATTTTCGTGCAAAATTCCGCCGTTCCAATGCACCTTGGGATTCTTGTCAGGCCACGTCGATCCTAATATAATCCTGGCTTGATTAAAACTAACGGATTGTTCTTTGCGTGTACAAGTTCGGATATAAAAACTGCTTGAAATATTGGAGATATTGAGTAAAAAACTCTTTGGAAGATTTCGCATATCTCGTATCACATTTTTGCGTAGATTATTTTAGACATATCTTTTACATACATGTGATTCTTTTTATATTTGCGCATGTATCCGAACATAATACATGCAACCTTATTTTCTAGACATGGTGGCTAATATCGGCACTTTGTTGGAAACATATCCTAGTGCTTTAATTGTTATCTATTTCCGAGATATTTCTATCAAATTAAACATTTCTTATACACACTATTGATGTGCGAATTATTATGCATAATTTTATTTAACGGTGTCCTACACGCATTTGTAATGTTTAGATACTTGCACAGATGCTTGCATTTTTACCTGCGCATATGTACACACATACACATATATACAAAGATATAATACACGCTCTGTCACACAGAATAGCAAACAGATTTTGAAAACGCGTCTAAAGTTTTGAGGATGACGGGATGGAGAGGAATTAAAAAGCAAGAACAAGAAAGATCGTTGACATTAAATTATTTTTTTGGCTGTTCTGCGGCACGGACTGAGAATGGATTATGTACCTGATCACCTGCACCCACGTCCATGTCTTGCCTGTCCGTATGGACACCATCCGCGATATTTGGGGATTGTTGTTCGATCGCCACCAAAAGGTTCAACGTACGCCAATCGAATCCTGCCACGATATGCTTACGTTACACAGTCTTTACGAATTTCTTTGCATGATCTTTTTTTCCGAAAAATAATGAGCAGGAAATACGGATTATTCGATCGATCGAGGCATGGAATCCAAGTTAAACATCTTAATACATACACAAACTAAGATTTTTATTTTTCATCTCGATATATTATCAATATAAATTCAAAATATTTATAATTCAAAATTATTATTTGTGGCAAAAATCGTATGTGATGTTTGGCGCTTGAATCTTTTGTGCCATAGTTCGATCGTGTAATTTTATAACATTTGATGAAAGAGAGACGTATGAGACGAATTTTAATAAGGACGAGGGAGCTGGCTATATATTCAGCCATAGAGCATGCATGTGTTACTGTTAAACAACAAATCGATTCCTCGTGAGTGTAGGAGTTCTAATTTTTGACGCGCAAACATACATAATTAATATCCAACAAAGTGTCAGAGGCAATCGAAGGAAGTGCCAGACGTGCATTATTGAAATTACGGGTACATATATATATATATATATATACACGTAATATAAATTAACAATTATTATACCTTTCGAAGAATCGTCGTAACCAATGTGCTTTACTGTATCTCGAACGATCTTTTGATAATCCACTACAGCTTTTGATGTAATTTCTCCGCACAGAAGTATCATTCCGGTTTTCGTTACAGTTTCTGTAATAAAGAGAAAAATCGTTAACGCAAATGCTTGATATATCTCTCTGTAATACTAAATATTTATGTAGTAGAATTATATTTAATGCAAAAATAATATACAAAATATTATATTTTATATTTTACTAAAGACGATATACATTTAAAGAAAATCATAAAATCAACGTTAAGATAAGATAACCATATTTTGGAGAGAAAATAGTTCTCTTTTTTAAAAAATTTTTAAAATCTTAACAATTTAATTACTTATTTCAACAATATAAATGTAAAGCAATAAATGCAACAGTCGTCAGTTCCGGCTTCAAACTAGTTCAGGGTTGAATAAACTATTTAAAGATGTTATAATACAAATATATGTTCAAGTGCTTGAAGAAATTAATACTGCTCTTAGTTGAACTTACCACATGCTACTTTAGCATCGGGATCTTGCTTCAGATGTGCATCCAAAATGGCATCGCTTATTTGATCGCACATTTTGTCTGAAATATAACATAAAAGACGTTTATAAAACTATGTGCCAAAAGAAATTGAAATTATTCTGCAGACAATTGAATTATTATTTTTAAATCCTTTTTAAAATTTGTTAATTTTCAATTTTGAGCCACAATCTCTTATTTAAATCTTAAATAAGATTTCATTTTTATTTAAAGAAATATAGATAACTCATTACTATAAATAAAAATTGCATAATTGAAAAGGAATAATTTAAAATTTTTAAATATATGTATTCATATAATACGAACAATTTAGATAAACTTATTATATGAAAAAATAATGATGCAATGGTTAATTTTGTCACTCTATATCTCTATCATAGATAGAATTATAATCTAAAAAAAAGTAATGAATCTCGCGCTAATCTGAGATTAGTTAACCTAAATCGCTCACGAGACTCATGCTGAACTTTCTTTCTTTATCTTTGATATAATTAGAGCCGTGATGTAGTAAGAATAAAAGAGTAGTAGTAAACACATAGAATTAACAATATACGAATATACCAAAATACCAAAGAACCAATTATATTGAAGATTATTGAAAAATATGAATTAAATAAAAAATATAGGAGATCTAACTAAATAAAGATTTTCAAGAAAGTTTGCAGTTAAAATTATAGACATAAGACGCTTATTGTGAAACAAATTCGGGAATAGCGCAGCGATTTTTCTAAATTATCAATTATCAAGGATTCTTACGATAGATATTATGAACTGTAAGTAATGTCAGAAGCGAAGAAATTTACGCGAGAGCAATTGTTACATATTCCTTATAATATAAATGTTCACATGTATACAAATAAATTTTTATAAATCAAAATATTTCTATAAAATAAATAATGATAGAATGTAATTTTGCATTAGTTGCATATGAAATTGCATTATTTTTAAATTTTATATCGTGGTATAAGACGATATATGCTTATTTATGTTAGCTTTTTTGTAATATAATGTCAGAAATGAAAAAAATTAAACTAATGATATGCAACTGTAATCTTCGTACGAGTGAATTATCAACAAAATCACTTTAATATGATGAATATTCATACGAAACTTATAGTTGCAAGATTCTTTAGCATGACTTTCCTCATTTCTGATGTTATATTCTAAGAAGAGTAAGATAAATAAGTATATAATCGTTGAACTGTAGATATAATATCTATCGTTCTCTCTCTCTCTCTCTCTCAGCGGTAAATAATATCATTGAAAAAGTAATAGAAAAAAAGAAAGATATAAAGTAAAAAAAAAAAAAAAAAAAAAAAAAAAAAAAAAGCGAAAAGTAATAACCGGCAGTTAGTCGCGAATTTTTTGTGATTAACAGTGAGCATTTAGAATTTCGATGATTTGAATATAACAATATAAAATACCATAGTCTACAGCAATTTTTGTTGGTTTCAGTCAAAATTAAACAAAAGGAGAACAATCAGAAATAAAAAAAAATTATTATAATGAGTCTAAAAATGCGAAATATATTTTATGTGTATGTGTGTATAATGTGCGTAATATAATTATCGGCAAAAGAGATTAAAAGGAATGAGTAATTTATTATGATGGAAATATCGCGATTTAAACCTCATTAGACTATTCATTTTGACAAAAAATTGTTTTCAACGAGAAATGTTGAGAAATAACACACGCTCCCCTTAAATCATCTCGTCAAGATGACGATAGAATGCCTTGATGCAGTTACTGTCAAATGTTTTTCGCATTTCCTGAAAAAAAAAAAATAATAATAATAATGATTTTGGAGTAATTGGTCTTCCAAAACAAGAAGGAAAAAAAGTTGAAGAAAACAGATGTCTTCTGCCCCAGGTTTTGCGTACGTAACCAGCGGAGCTAACGCGAATAAGATATATTGGGTGCGCAACCGGCGTCTATCTTCGGCCGATTACGTTAATTCAAGCACGAGCGACTGGTGTTGATCGCGCTGCGATCGGAGCGAGCACATGGCGACAGCGCGGCTATCGCTCGACACTCGCGGCTCGCGGCCAACAATGTGCCCGCCAGCCCGCCTCGCGAATCCCCGATCGCGAGCGTGCGCGCGCGAAATTGCCGATTTTGGCGGCGAGAGAAACGGGCCGCCAAATTACTCGTCGAACGAGCCGTTGAAGGAAGCGAGACGGTCGTTTCGCGATTCCGCTTCGCTCGATTACTGACCGCGCGCGCGCGCGCGCGAGACCGACGCCTTTTTCTAGAACATAACCCCGGCCGTCCATCACGGCCGAGGAGGACGTGCGTTAGTTGGCCGAAAGCCAAGACGGAAAGATTGAGAAGGATCAATCGAATAATCGCGATTAGCGTACTAAGATCATTAAGAGCGAAGGAGAGGGTAGGATAGACAAAGAGCGTGGGACGCGTCTATATACACGCGCGTCCGCGATTACGAAGATGATCTTCTCTTCTATGACGACATTACGCGATAAGGTGGTAGCGAAGCCGCGGGTTCAGAGAGAAAGAGAGAGAGAGAGAGAGAGAGGGACAGAAAGAAATCGAAAAAGCTTTGACCGATATAGTGCAGGGTCACTAACTCGCTGGGCTCTGGGAAAGGGGTTGGCCGCGGAAAGGTGCAGGTCTCGCTCACCTGGGTGTCCCTCGCCGACCGACTCCGAGGTGAACAGGAAAGTGGTGTCCTGCTGTAGCTCGGGCGGCGCGTGGCCATTCGTGTAACCGTTCATGTGATGCGCGGTCTCCGGCATTTTCCTGCGTTTCGGAGTTGTCGCCGTCGTTGTCGTCTCGTCGCGTCGTAGCCGATCCTCGCTACTCAACAGAGAGACAGAGAGAGAGAGAGAGAGAGAGAGAGAGAAAGAGAGAATCCCGCGTAGACACCGTTGAGCTTCTCTGTCGTTTAGCCTGTCCGCTCCTACCGAGTTCCCTCCACGTGCCTCCTTGTCGCCGTATAGGGTTTTACTCGCGTCCCACTTGGTAGGAATTATCGTCGCTGCGGAAACTTTGTACGGATCGTCGCGATCGGCTTCTTCACGACGCGTGTTTTACACGAGACCGAGGATTCTCCGGTGTTTCAGGGTAGACGACGGCGTGCACGAGATGGAGAGCGGGATCGGGTCGCGAGCGAACGAACGTGATCTGTACAAGCACACGGCACACCGCGTAATGATCGGGATCGGGAAACGACGGAACGAACACGAGCACGAGCACGAGCGAAAGAACGAACGCAGACGAACGCGCCGAACGGCCACGGCGCGTAGCGGGAAGTGAAAGAGGTTCGCCGCGCGTTGCCGTCCGCTATTTATAATCTCGGCGCGCCAGCATGCGCAATCAGCCGGTTCCGCGGTCACGTGACACGCCTGTCAAATCGGCGCGAAATTCGAATCACTCGGAATTCGGAACTTGCTCGCTAGCGGAAATTCGTCGTGGCTCTCGTGTCGTCGCCCGACCTCGTGGCTTATGGCTGCTGCTCCACTTCGTCCTTCCTCATCCACGTGCTCTATTCTGCAAAAGATACAACTGTGCTTTACACAAGTGAAGTATGCGAGCGTGTCTACAAGATTAATCAAATCGGCTTGTATCTGACAGAACTTTCTCGAAATAATTTCTGCGATGTTAAACTAATTATCCGTTCTGTTTGAAAATCGATTGTAGTACTGTATGTCAATCTAAATTAACATATACATGTATTCTTTCATTCTGTTTTCTCATTTTGCATGTATCAGCATTAGGACAATGTCAAGTATGAATATTCCACTGAATATTCCAAGTACGAATATTTAGTGATCTTAACATGTATATTGATTAGGATTCTAAATATAAATATTTAATCATGTCTAAATATAAATATATAATCATATAATTAGAATATTATATAAATAAATACGTAAAATTGTATCATCCACATTGCAAAATAGCACGGAAAAAAATGGACGGAATTTATGGAATTTGCAGATGTAATTTGCGGAAATATAATTTATAATTGCTATTATTCCTTCGACTAAAAATTCACGGATATTATTGCTTATTAAGCTTGCATTTTCTTATAGCAAGTAGTATTTTCATATAGCATATACGTAAAGTACGCGATAAACACTTGCATGATATACTGTGATGCGTAACTGCATCACACAATGGTTATTAATTGGTTTACATAGAAAGATCTCTCTCTCTCTTTTTTTTTTCTATCGCGCGTTTTGTGGTAAACATTTTATGTGATAATATTTGTCAATATCATATATTGATTTTTCAACAGTGTTATCACTCGCGAAAATTTTTATTAGTCATTGTAATTTTTGTTAGTTTAGTATGCATCAGTAATGCTGAGTCATTAAAAATCAGTTAGCGTAGTCGTTAAATTGAAATCATGTGCAGAAATCTAATTCTTCAAGATCTATACGAGATCTACATTTTTATAGCTAAACTTTAGATCGAGTAATATTTTGTATCTGTAACAAAACAAAATGGAAAGTGAATACAGTTTAGTGTTTTATTAGCTATTATTTATAATAGCTGTATTATTGCTGTAAAATTGACGTGTTACCTATCATCCGATATTACAATTAGTTAATTCAAATTTTGATAATTTTAATTTATAATTAGTTTTGCAAACAGAGCAAATTTGAGATAATTCTGTCCTCAAATTTGCTGATTTAATTAAATTAATGAAATTGTGATTAAAACTCTTGATCGTTGGAAATTTTAAGTTTCCAAAAACGGAGATTGAAAATATCAAATGATAGCCCTAAGTGACACGATGATAAACTTGTAACTTATCATAATGCATTGCTAGACTATCAATGTGACACTATGATCTTCATGACGAATATATCGCTTACAATTTGCTCAGTCATACTTTATAGCTTTTAACATTGCATCATGCCGAGTGATCTGTGAATTACAAAACAAAAAGAATCTTTCTGTATCTTTCCATACCGCCGTTCGCTTTCAACACTAAGTATAATCGTTTGAAATAGAATTTTATTTCATTCGCATATATATATATACAATTAACGTGGCTTGATAGTAAGACAAATTTAGCATATAGATCACGTTTAACATTCAAGATGGGGGTAGAGACCTAGATATATCCGATTTAGATCCTTACCAATAACGTCAGCCTTATCAGTGTGTAATTTTATTCTCTCGCGTGCCGTAATTCCCACCACACAGATGTACAGGCGCCAAATTTCGGTTTAAACAATTACATCCGCTATTGTGTTTTCCTGACAGAAATCTGACAATGAGTCGCGCAATCGCGAAAGACAAACCAAAATCACGAAAACTTGAACAAAATCGAGAGTCAACTTTTATCGTCACTTTTCAAAATCGCATTGTGAGTGCAAGCAAACCGGTTATACGTTTATATATCGTTCGGCGGTAAATCGAGAAAATCTTGGAAGGGAGGAGTTGATAGCCGCTATATCGAGATATTGGATGAGTCCGCAGACTTCTATATATTATACAATAATAAATAGAAATAAATATAATATAATATAATATAGTATAATATATAGAAGTCTGTGGGTGAGTCAGTTTTACAGCAAATCGCTAGTTTCCCATATATTTTCCGGAAGAGAGATACAGATACAAAAATTTGAAATCTGCTAAGGTGAATTTTTGATTGTATGTGTGATCTTCCCTCTTTCAAAATGTGGAAATTCAATTTACACTAGATTGAGATATATGTATCTTCGATGAAGCGTTTTTGAGTGTAAAAATCTAGATAATTAAATAATCTTAAATCAAAACTTTTGTGGAATTAAAAGAATCCAAAAAGCAGAGGTGCACACAGGACCGATAATCTATGAAACTATGAAACTGTAAATTCAAAAGTCTATGGTTACATAAGGATTTACAAAGTAAAAGATTTGTGGAGAATATAAACTCGCAAAAGTAAGAACTCTAAAATTAGAAATTTAAGATCGAAATATATAAGATCTAAAATTGGGTAAGATGAGAAATTTGAGAATTTTTAATTCTTCTTTTCTCTCTCGTATAATAAAACGTTATTTATTTAATTTATTTATTTCGCTAAGATATTTTGTCGTTTAAGGAAATGCGCTCTTTTTCTCAATATTTTATTGCTAATATGACATATATGCGTAACATGTTATAATCGTAATCAATATTATTTCTATCTTTTGTTACACATTACTTGTAAATAACATCAAAATTGTCGATCATGCTATATGTGTCAGACTTTACTTGGGTATGATATTACAAATTATGTTATTGAAAGTGAAATAATTATGCGGCTGACTGGCATTTAATTTAGCGATAGTGATTATCACCTCATATCTAACACACTCGACGTATACTTGGAAATTATGTCGTCGAACTTAATTTAATAAACAACTAGTAATTGTATATAAATACAATTATGTAATTAAAATTTTATTGGAATTTTGTTTGCGCGAATCTAACTAAATTATATTGATCGCCACAATTTTTTTCTGGATAGAGTTTCCTTCGTTATCGTGCAAATTGCGTAAAAAAATGTCATATACTTTTGCAAAAGGCAATCTAGAAGCATATAAAGCGGCATAAATATGCATAAATAGGCATAAATTGGCATAATAATTTAAACGTGTCGTGTTTAAAGACAAGTATGGATTGATTCGAATCAGATTTAAATCTTACAAATACTACTCGTTTGATTGTCAATCTGCGTATATATATTGTTTTTTGCTGAAATAGACGGCCGGAAAAAAAGAAACTTTTACTTCATTTGCGCATGATATCTAGTCACGTGATAAATTCGTGATAATTTTCGAGTAGCTTTAAAAATTTAATAAACGCGTTATTTTTCGTCGATGGCGTATATTGTTACGAAAAAATATGTACATGTGTATCCGCTATTTATCGGCTTTGGTTTACAAATAACTCTCTTTTGACGTTAATCTCATAAAACGCGAAAAAATTAATAATAAGTCACAGTGTTGTAAAAATTATTGCATTCGCCATGTAATACCATTGTATCTCGATAATTTTGGCATCAAACTTCAAAGTTAGTGAACCGTAATCGCAGACTGACGAAATCCTCAATTCCGATTTCTTTTTCGCAAATAACATAAGATCGCGATCAGAACCTAATTAATCAACAATGATTTATTTGCCTAAAGAGCATGATGTCGCATGCAGCTATTTTTACTTTTCTGCTTTCAGATAACTTTTTTTCAGCGATTAACACACTATTCTAAAACTGATGAACCATTAGCCACAATGAAAGCAAGTCAATATAAGCCAGTGTCAGTGATAATATTTAATAGTTATAAAAATGCGCTAGTGTAATCGGCCAAAATTAAAAGTCGTTTCTTCTTAACTTAAAATTTAACTTTTAACATTTGAAAAATAAGACACTAAGAAGAGAAAATGTTTAACTGTGTGTGTGGTTTTATTTTTTTTTTTTTACAGTTTTTTTTATCCTTTTCAAAATAAAAAATTTAAACTATAAAAAAAGTTTTTGGAGTTCCTTGGATATTTAATGTATGGCTATGCTAAATAATTTTTTTAGTAACATTTTCTTTTCAATATATTTATAGTCATTCATTTATACACGGAAAAAAAAAGATTAGCAACAGGAGCTAATATATAGCTGTGATAGCTAAAATGTGTCCTTAAAATAAGGACAGCTAATATTGTTGCTGCCCAAGCTAAATTTATTAGCTATTTGCATTTAGGTACTACAGCAACACTTTTTTGCTGTTAGAAACAAGTGACACTTAGCTGTGAATGCTACTTTATCCTTTGCTGCAGAACTAAATAATCTCCATTATGGATGCTAAGATTTTTAGCTATGATTGTACAATCTTCGCTGTTACGCCCCAATATTTTAACAAAGTACGGACTTCTTCATCCATCTTATCCACACAATAGAGAACCACTTAATTCACACGTATCGAAACGAACTGGGCGAGCAACGGCTAACGCGTCGATGTTGTCAATGACAGCGTCGCAGAAACAATTAAACAATTGTGAATCGAAGATTCGCGCGCATACCCATAAACTTAGCTGCGCGTGCTAAATGTTTTAGCTATAAAGCATATTCCGCAATGTATGCGCATAGTAAGAAATTTAGGTACGGTTGCTATCTTTATAGCTGCTCGTGTTAATATACGCTTTCAATTTCAGCTAATAAATTTTCATGCCACAGTGAATTTTTTTTACCTATAATAACTAGTACTTAGCTATGACACTAAGGCGATAGCTCTTACAGCTAAGTTTGATTCAGCTACTGAAATTTAGCTGCTATTGTTAAGTCATTTTTTTGCGTGT